TTTTGATGCATACTTTATTAATATCATTGAATTCTTTTGTTATTAATTGAGGAAAATTAAATTAATTTATCAATTCTAAAATTATTATTCATTTAGTTGGATAATTGATAATTGAATTAGTGAATTTTATTAAACCTTTGCTAAACGAAAAGTAAAAGAAAAAAAAAAAAAACTCGTTTATTGAATTTAATTTATAAATTTAAAAGTTATGGCTTTAAAATTTTTAAAAATTAAAAAAAAGATTACTCGTTTATTGAATTCAATATTCATAAATTTAAACGTTATAGTTTTAAAATTTTAAGAAATTTTTTTTTTTCAATTGGCAAGCATTTAATCAATAATGTGGATATATAATTATTTTTGTATAATTCAAAGATTTCATTTTAAATTTTAGTATTTTGATATGAAAAATATCTTCATATGCTATTTTCTCATTTTCATTTCCGAATTTTTCACTCACATTGATAGGATAGATGGTAAAAGGAGGAATTAGCTTTAAAAAAGGATGAATAAAATATTAATTAAGAAAATGTTGAATTGAATTTTTAATTTGAAAATATTAGAATTTAATTGAAAAATTAAAATATGAATAAGAGTAATAAACAAATATCTTTAAACCATTACAATAATATCACTCAATTGACCATCTGTTCACTTTTCCTGAATCAATTTTTAGCTTAACCCTTAACGTAATCCAACATATGTCTTCAAAGTAACTCACTAATATCACTAATTTTAATTATTAATTTATTCTATTAAATTTATTCATTTGATTAAACTACTAATGGTATTGTCGCAAATGTTTTGCTAATATCTTCAACTGCTTTCTAGCCCATTTTTGATTGTCTTTCAAATGTGAGGGGTCAATTATATTAGGGTTAAACTTCCGATGGTACTGTAGTTTGTAATTTTGCGGTATTTCTATGTTATTGGAGTAATGGTATTAAAAGAAAGAAATGAGAAATAGTTGAGAACAAGAAAATATGATTAGTAATTAATCGATTAGGACGAAAATCAGCTTTGCTAAAGATCGATTACCTTCTTCATAACTATACTCTGAAGGAAGAAGAATGGATGTGAAGGAATGCTTGATGAAGAAATATCAATCTTTTGTCATTTCTTTTTCCTCCTCTCGTTTACTTTCAGGAAACTAAAAGCTAAGGTTTATTCGCCCTTCTTTGTCGTCTATCTCTTTTCAGCATGTATTGGTCATCTTTTTACAGATGTAATAATAGCCCCAAGAGAAGAGAAAGATGAAAGTAGGGAAAGAATGAAAGCTAAAAGCTAAAATTAACAATTCAAGAGGAAACTCAAACAAGCAAACTAAATCCAATTTATCTTCCAAGATTTTCCCTTAGAGCAAGTAATCATATATATCATCGTCATCATTATCACCATGTTACAGTAATAATTATTATTATTGCTATCATCATCATCATCGTCATCATTATCATCATCATCGTTATTGTTATATCATAATTTCCGCATATATGAAGGAGCTATACATAGCGATACTTTAATGTATCAACCATCGATTTACATACTAGCATGGCAAGCTTCCTAGAATTATAAGTAATGAAGAAGCATCATCACTATCACCACCACCACCACCATCACTACCACCATCACCACCACCACCACCACTGCCACCATCATTGTCACCATCACTACTATCATCATCACCACATCCTCCTCATTAATCCACGACGACTCATCTATATACTATCCCATTGCAAATGTCTATTAATTCTCATCCATTCACTCAATCTTTCATTTCTATTATCAAAATTGAAATATAAAAAATAGAATTAAATTTCCATTAATGAAATTTTCCATTTAATTCCCTATTTAAATTTGCTAGAATAGGTGAGAAGAAAAAGATTGGCCTTTTTAGAGTTAAAATCTCCATTTGTTAATGTAATATTTAAAATGCAAAAGTTGGATTAACCCTTTGCCGGAATTCATCATAAGTTTAAATGAAATCGAAAAACGGTCCAATTGGTGATATCGGAAATTTCATCCGTTAAAGCAAACAACATATAGCCATTGTTTTTTTTTTTTTAATATTGCTATCAATTTGAAGAAAAGCTCTTCCGAAAATCTCATGAATGGAAGAAGCACTGAAGTGAAAGGAACATGAAATGATAACAAAGTTAAATTTCATAGTACCAGATTGGCTGATTGTTACTGAAGGCTTATTTTTATGATAGGTTAAATGAGCTTTATGCAAATTTCGTTCATCTGAAATATTTCATTTATCAAAATTGCTTAACAAATGTGGTACACGAGTTTTTTATTTCAATGAAATGGAAATGATTTGATTCATTCAGAATTTAATCCAATCAATAATAACAATTGAAATGGATAATATCATCATTAAGCGGAATATATCAATGATCGCAATGTATTATTCATGGAGGGATGATGATAATGATGATGGTGATGATGATGATGATGATGATGATAATGGTAATTACATTGATAAAAATCTATGATGACGATGAAGGAAGAGGAAATGTACGGTGATCGTTTAAATGAGTAAAATTACACGCAATCCATTAGAATTCATTTTATGTTTCCACATCTAATTGATGATTCAAAGAATGATATCGTACATTCCCATTTCTTGCAATCTTTACACTTTTCTGAGGTATGAAAACCACAAACAAACCCTAAAACAAAACTAACTTGTAGATTATGAAAACTAAAATATCATTCTTATCATAATAATAACAGAATTGATAATGATAATAGAATTGATAGTGATAACATAATCTGAGCATCCACCAGCTGTAAACTAAGAATCAATTATATGAAATGCTCCCAATCTGGCCATTTAATATATTTCGAAACAAAAATACACGTTAATTCGCATAAGCAATCATATACATACATACATACATACACACATACACACACACACACACACACATGCATACGCACACATACAAAAAAGGATGATTTTTATTTAATCCTTGAAATTTGGTTGTGCCATAAGAAGGTATGTGTTAGAACTGACCTTCTTCTAGTGTTTGAACTTACCGTTAAGACAAGCGTGTTGGGTAAGCAATCCTGTTACAAATACCTGACATGATGTTCATATGGTTCCGGAACGGAATAAACCTGATCAACTGTCTATTTTCACTTTAACCAATCATTTATTATTTGATTCGGAAAAACAAATAATATTAATGATGAAATTCTTTCACCTCACAAATATGATGTCATGATGTGAATTCTGAAATCACTAAAGATTTCATAATTATTCGTACTATTACAGAATTCAATCTATCATCCAAAAATATGTAACAAGTAAGTAAGCAAGTAAGTAAGTAAGTAAGTAAGTAAGTAAGTAAGTAAGTAATTCGTCCTATTAATAATAACTGTTACAAAATATTTCTGATGAATTGATGAATTATCAATTGTTGATGGTACCCAGTACAATTTCTCCTAAAAATATTTTTTTTAATATCCTAAAAATTTAATATCTTAAATATTTTTTTTTTTTAAAACTATCCAAAGATATTTAAATTTGCATATGAGTGTTGATAACTATAAAGAGTTTGTATTACAATCATAAATAGACGAACGGTAATCTTTTATAGATTTACATACCTCACAATAGGGTGCGTCCGACAAAGAGCTGATAAATGATCATTAGCGGTATAGTTCAAAGAGAAGCGGAAAGAAGTAAAAGAAAGGATTGTAATTAACGTAGAGTGTTTTCTTGTCGGCTTGCTAATTTGCGGCACATCCTTTCATCCATAGATTAGCTTAACACGTATGCATAATCCAAATCAGTTCAATGATTGAAAAATACATAGACAAATGTAAACTGAAAGAAAGATTCGATTCGTCTGTTTTAAACAATCGATCAACACACATGGAATGACTCTTCCGACAAAAAAAAAAAAAAAAAAAAAAAGAAAAAAATAGTGAATATTAGCTTTTGCCATTAATTAGTTTATAAATGTTAAGTTTAGTTATGCTATCCGTTGATACAACAACATATTGTCGAACACATTCCTTTTATGATGCAAAGAAATTTCTCAAATTCTATATTTTACAGTAATATTTACTATATCTTTTCAGTAATAATGGTAACAGATGACAATCGAAGTACCAAAATTCAAGCAATACGATTTTCAATCACAATTGCAGCATTTGGTAGAATCGAAATGACATTTAATGTTAGCAGTAATGATTATCCAAGCGTCTTTTTTTGGTTCTTTTTGGCTTTATTATTCTGCCTTCAATTCTTAAAGTACAAAATACTTTAACTGATTGATTCCTAGGTTTACAACCAAAACCAAGTTCCAGGAGTTAAAACCCTAATTTAAAATGTAGATAATGTTAGGGGTCTAGCATTTTTAACTGTTGCACATTTCAAGGAAATTATGTAAAATTTATGTCACAAGAAAAAAGGTAAAAATAGATATACAGAATTAAAACTATAGCTTTCATGGGCGAAAACACGAAAAATGCGAAAGAATAACCAGGAATATAATGGACTATCTGTCATTAGTTTCATCATTCAATATGATCGGTGCATCATAAAATCACTGTATGTTACTTAAACAATAATAAGCATTGAATTTTCATAAAAACTTCTTCAAATTTTTACACAAAATCTTGGCAAACGATATTCCCGATAAAATCTCCTTTTTCTTTTTCTTCCGCTAAGTTAACATAAAACATTTTCGAGAACTGACGAAATAAAAGAGAAAAAATAAAACTTCATGAAATTATTTTCTTGCGAAATGCTTTATTGTGTGCTTAGTTTATCATTCAGCCTTCTGATCCAAATATTTAACCAAGCTCCCTGAAATATTCCAAAAGATATAAGATACACTCAATGAAAGATGTAAAGCTAAAATTTCGTGAACTCCTCTTTCCCCATACTATGGAAGGATAGCTATAAGAGGATATCTCGATATGACGAAATAAACTCGAAATTGGATAATAAACTTACTCGGAAGAAATGGTCACATTGGTGTACATACGAAGCATATATTCGCCTTCTTCACCAGGTTCAAAAGTTGATGGAACTATGATGTAATTGCCGGGTTGAAGACGAAAATGGCCAGTTATCTATAATTATCTGTTATCTATAATGGCGGCTATAACTGCTATTGTTGGTTTTGGATATGCTTCCATTAAAATTCACCGTGGATGAGATCTTAAATTATGGTTTAATCCATAAAATCTAACATTAAATATTTTATTGTAGGTAGTGGAAATGGCAACGGCTGAGTCATTTCGAAATATGAAAGTTTTACACATTCAAAAAAAAACGGAACTATTTGTTCGGGAACTAAAAAGATGACCTTTTATTTCGAACTATCACCGTAATAGACAAGATGGAAAAGTTTGACAGTTGTCATAACTAGCTTCGTCGATAAGATTGCGTATAATTTATGTGTACTATTGAAGTGCAGTCTGCTAAACTGTATACGATTTAATTTGGACAATCTATTACCTGGAAATTGCAATTGGCAGGCAAAATATTACCTCACGAAGATTGATAAATGCAGAACTTCTTGCACATGATTTATGCGATGCAAAAAAACTGCGGTCCAAATGACCGTAAATTTCATCGACCTTAAAATTCCAAAATTTAATTATGTGAAATGTTTCCCGATAAATGATCTAGAAAACCAGAAAACTTCGGAAGGAAATGCAAACATATATAGCATGTTATATCAATTTTAAAATTACCTGATAAACAGCAAAACCGATAGCAAGATTTTCTAACCCTTGTCGTTTCATTTCACGGCGATTCTTTTGCAGCACGGCAATAATTATTGTACAAAGACCATCCTCATCTTCAGGATTTGGATTAGACAGCGTCATGGCAAATTGACAGTTATTGGCAAAGGTATCTGAAGAGAAATACATCTAAATATAGAAATTAATAGTTTTTGTGCGAATGGATTATTCAGAACTAGTGACTATCCCTAGCAAAGTCATCTAAATCACTACTAGAATTAAATTTTACAATCGTATCCTATAATGTTTATCAGTTGCTTTTTACCCATTGCTTCATCTTTGGCATAACGCTCTTGATTTTGCCGAGATCCTTGAAAACGGAAGTTTACGGTTATCTATGTTCCTATTGTATCTCTGCATACTTATCATTCCTCTCTCAGAAGTTGTTACTTACATTATTGCCCCAGCAACCAGCTCCGTGGTCATATATGTAGTTCGATATTTTTACAACGTCTTCCCTTTTTCAGTAAGATCGACATTTATGAGGACAATAACTGACCTTACTCATACTGTCAAAAGAAATGACGTGTAGATGATTCCGAAGTACCATCAAACATCTTTCTCCACATCTTTTTCTCTAACTTCTGTTTTCATTAACGACTATTACCACATTTCACACTATATGTAATCTCCATTTGGACATAATCTTTGGAAACGAAAAAATTGATGCTTCTTATTGGGAGAACTCCAATACTCTTAGGTTATATACGATGAGTAGGTTAACAAACACTTATACCTAAATAATTACGGCAACCACCAGCTGTATCACCTATCCATGCGCCAAGATGACAACGAGTATTCCAGCGTCCGTAACCTGCATCTTCCATCGAAACACCAGTCATCTCTCGTACTTCATCCATAACATCAGGTCCCAAATTGCAGATTTCCATTTTATTGAAATATCGCATGAAGTCATCAAATGACATCCTGTAACGACAAGTTCTTATTAGGCAAACTAATAACATAATTTGAATAAACCTTGGTATGCATTTGAATGCATCAAGAAACCATGACTACTAAACTGAATAATCTAGTAGTAACTGCATAAATTACTCATGCATACTTTATAACAGTATAATTTTTATTGTCGCACTAAATCATCATCAAGTTCCACAGAACAAAAAACGTCGCGATTTTCCAAAATTAATTGCAAATCAAGCAAACCAAAATTCGCCATCGTGCGCCAAGACAAGATTCATATCTTTTTTCTGCTGACTAGAAACATAATCCCATAATTCACTTTCATCTGACCAGTCACCATTCCATTCCTGCTCATTACCCCATGGATTACGAATTCTCAGTAGCGGAATTTTGCCCTGCGATGTATCAACCTAAAACGTGAAAACTTTTCGAACCAAAAAATGAGATTTCCAAATATATATATACATATAATATATATATATATATATATATA